CTTTATATTTAACGGCCTTTAAAAATATTTTTTTTACTACTAACATGAGAAATCACCATTATTTACTCCATTCCTCTAATGAGAAGTAATATTTCTCTCCCTAGGTAAATAATGATAATAAAAAAACACCTAGGTAAATAAGGAAACTAAATTTCATTAGTTTCATTTTGTTAATTTGACAACTAAACTCCCAGACTACTTGATATTTTGAAATATTTGAAAAATAAGTAGGAAATAACTAAAACTGGGTTTATTAAAATCTAATCAAATCAAATATGATAATATTTATCAGTGTTAATAGTACAAATATATATTAACTAGGAAATTCAACACCGGTAATAGGCTTCAAAAATTATTAATTAATACCAATAAATCCATGTCGCTAAAATATCAAAAATGCAATGGGATATTTCCTAGAATCATATCAAAATTTGACACATGCCAAATTTTTACATAAATAAAGCCAGTCTGATTAGAAACACCTCCACTCTGCTTGATATTTCAAATATTTAACAAATTGTTAGGAAATTACTTATGTCAAAATTAAAATTGCTAATATATTAATGTTAGTAGTAAAAAAAATTCGATATATACCTCGGCTGAGAAAGCTATTATTTACCTCGCACATTTTATCCCTCGGCGCTACGCGCCTCAGGATATAAAAGTGCTCGGTAAATAATAGCTCACTTCTCACCCTAGGTATATAATGTACTATTCTTCTTTACTTCTGTCATTATTTAAACGGATCTTTAAAATACATTAGAGGACTATGGGGTCTATTCTGTAACAATTCCTTTATATTTAACGGCCTTTAAAAATATTGGCTGCCGTGAAAAATATGTTCGTATTCGTTAATTTACTTCTGTCATTATTTAAACAGATTTCTTTAAGATAGTCCTCTAATGTATTTTAAAGATCCGTTTAAATAATGACAGAAGTAAAGAAGAAAATATTTTTAAAGGCCGTTAAATATAAAGGAATTGTTACAGAATAGACCCCTATATATCTTAAAGAAATCTATTTAAATGACAGAAGTAAATTAACGAATACGAACATATTTTTAAAGGCCGCCAATATTTTTAAAGGCCGTTAAATATAAAGGAATTGTTACAGAATAGACCCCATTATCTGCTTTATTTCTTTAATTTTTAAATTTTTGGTTTCCGTTTTAGGTTATTTACTTTATCCCTATTTCCGAAATTATTGCACCTCGATGATAATCCAGTCACGAATGATGAAAGAAAGAAATCTCAAAAATTATACCAGAAACACATAATCGACATTTTGACGACCAAAGTTCAACAAAATTTACCTGATTGTGTGAGAAGGGTATCTCGCAGAATGACTAAGATGTTGTCCACTGAAAATTTAACAACTTTTCAACAAAAAAACTATATTATCTGAAGTTAAAATTGTAAATAATAAAAAAGCGTGCGTTTTGATTTTAAATAAAAGGTTTTTTCTTTAATACACACATTTCTATTTATTGTTTCTACCTTCCACGATAAGTGTTATCGTGCATACCAGGGTATCATTTAGGCCAGGGATTCTCATCAGGTAGGGCGCTAAAAATTTAAAAAGGTAGTTACATTTTATTTTACGTACCTATTTGTATAAGACTGATATTGATATTGAAACGAAACATAAATGTTAGAGGGGTTTTCGAAAACTTTAAATTCTCCGTAAAAGCTTAAGTTTTTGCCCTCATGGTATTTCTGAATTTATTTTCGTTAATCTGGTATACATCATATGACATCCTTTTAGTATTTGATTTAACAAATCACCTACAGAAACTGGACTTTTTCAAGGGATTCAACAGGGTAAACCAGCTACTTTTAGCTAAACTTTTCAACATGATTTTATGAAAATGATTGAATAGTATGCTTGTTTATCAAACTTGTTCTGAATAAACATAAATCAACAGTATATAGGTAGGTATACTTACTGTAGGGTGACCATGTTTAGTTTAGCCCAATGCTGGATAATACAACATTGATGATGAACTTTGGTGAGGTGAAGACTTTTTTTTTAAGTTTCCAAAGATACCATTCACAGAGAAATCACGTCGAGGACCGGTGGACCTATTTTTTTAGATTAATACAACAGAGAAGTCATATGTATTACGCTTTTGTCTTATTTGTTACATTTCAGTAAAAAGGGTTGTACAATTTCTACGTTTAAAAAGTACCTCTTGGAGCGGAGTAGAGCTAGATTTTTTAGTCACGTGATCATCGAAATTATGTGAAATAAAAGACCGGCTATGGATTTGGTTGTTTTCGGTTTTCATTAAAATAATACACTTAAACCTTTCTTTTAAATCAAATTTGATCTCTCGTATAGTGGCGTTTATTGCAAAGTAAAGTGAATTTTTAGCTGTGATATTTTTCGCCTTTTGCTTTCACTAAAAAATAAACCATGTTCTAATTTCTGTCTGAAGTTTTTTTATTAATATTTCTCTCTTAAATTTAATTCGGAGTAAATAGATCTTACTAGACGTACCAGCTCTGCATTAAAAGACCACGGAGCAGATCTTATCGAGAAGCCACAGATATAATAAAAGAACGGCTTCGAGTAAAAAGGTTACTTTTCAAACGCAGCAAATATAGTGAAATGCTGTATGTATGGTTACCCTAACCTGCTGTAGTATTAATAAACTTTAATGTAATTATACTTAGACTTGTATCCATATTGTCAAAATGCCAGAAGGAAGACTTCCGTTTTAACATATAATATGCCCTAACCTAATAGATTGCGCCGAAAAATGGCCTTTATCCCTATTTTTATTATTTTTGTATTTCACAATCTACACACGAACTCAAATATCGCTACCTATCAAAGAGTTAAGTTAGAACACAGAAAGCTATTACATTACGTGTTATTTCCTTATAATTTCATTAAAAAATAGCGTAGTTTACTTTTTGTAAAATAAAATTTTGTTTGATTTACATTTTTCTTTAAATCCGTCCGTTACAAAATAATCCTTCGGATTCCGATGAAAAAACTATTTGATACGCCCATGTAGACCGCAGTACCACAGCTGTCAATAGTTTGTAGATACTGGCTTCAAACAAAGCCTGTGTTAAACGGCGCCCGTTAGGTACCTATCTATTTTTCATTTGTTTATCTGAGTCTAAACCTTCTAAAATGGTCATTTCTAATGCCTCTTCCATATTATGTACTATTATAAACAACAAAAAAGATGAACTCTGTTATTTAAAAATT